GGCCCTGGACCCCCTGCCCGGCGGGGTCGCCGAGCTTCCCCGCCGCGAGCCTCACGGAAGGTGGCCTCTTATGCACGGGCAGTATTGTCTTTCTTTGTTGAAATGAGTTGAGCTGTTGCTCTGACCTCGCCCCCTCCTCTCTCCCTCAGGCCATTGTAACTTGGGGTGCAAAGCCTTAAACCCATCGCGTCTCAAGGCAGATAATAACTAAGTGATTTTCAAAGTGAGTAATACAAATGCAGACCTGGAAAATCCAACACCCAGTATCTTTCCTTTTGAAAAGCCCACTAATATGCCACTAATATCACAGTTTTGCTTTCTAGGGCTCGTTCTGGGGATGCTCTCATTTAATCCTCACATTAACCAAGCGAAACATGGTCCGAGGATAAGAGGCAGGAGTCCACCGTGATAGAGGTTTGGGCACAGTCTGCTCTTGCTTCTGTTTGGCAAATTGCTCCCTTGTACGAGTAATGTGCCAAGTGATGAATGGACAGTGAATGGCAATAAGGGTTTTGTAGGAATCTCAGGGACTAGATATTTTGTTCTAGTAACTTTAGTTGAATTGCAGCCTTATGCTGGGGAGCAATATTTCATAATTATCTAAAAGCAGTCAAGAAAAGGAAAAGCGTGAAGATTTAAGTCTGAAAAGAGTTAATCCTTTTGCATCTTCTTTTGCTTGATTTTATCCTCCTGCTCTGATCCCCTCAAGGTGAGAAAGACAGACACTAGCGTGAAGATGTTATTCAGGGCCTTAAAAAGAAGTGTCTTAGCATGGAGAGGCCACGTGGTGGTTAGGAGCAGGAACTCAGTGTCAGACTGCATGAGTTTGAATCCTGGTTCTGTCACCAGCTTTGTGATTTTTTTTTTTCCTCCAAGTTGTTTTATCTCGTTGTTTCTCAGCTTTCTCATCTGTAAAATGGGGATAGGAAAAGGACTGACCTTATAGGGCCGTTACAAGATTGAATCAGTTAATAGTGGTAAAGCATTTGACATATAGTAAACACTACGTAAGTATTTAACAAGTGTAACACCAGTAACAGGTTTTAAAAACTTCATCTAGGTTTGATGGTATGATTTAGTTTTCATGCTTGCAGATTTTTTTTTTCTCTTTAAAGTCAGCAGCCCAATAGGCTGTAACCATCAACTTTTCTCTTTTGACTTTTCTTCTTAAAGGATCTAATTGATTTAAAAAAAGAAAGAAAAAATATTGGGTGTTTGACTTTCCAGTTCTGCATTTGTATTATTCACTTTGAAAATTACTTAGGTTCACCCAGTAACACAGTATCAACTTTATTATCTTTAAACACCACTTTCATTATATTACTCTCATGCTTAGAGAATTTCCTTATGGGTAAAATTCAAACTTTTAGCTTGGCCATCCAGACCTTGCCACCCCAGTGGCCTTTTCTGTGTTATTTTCAAACACATTTGAGATTTAGGAGTCAACTAATAAAATCCTTCTCCTGCACTTGCACATACCTAGGAGGATGCTGATGGGAAAGTGTGATTTCAGATCTGCACCCCTGTGGGCCTGCTGGTGCCTACCGCTGCATTAGCCCTGCTTACCCATCTAGTCATTGACATAGCTGCACTACCTCAGGCTTCTCCTGCAGGGGCAGGCTTCTGAAGAATGCTCACCCAATGCTGACCGACAAGTATGAAAGCAGCAGCGGCTTGCTTGGTCCTTTCTTCAAGATCCAACAATTAAATAACTTCCTACTCTTGAGCAAGAAGGTGTGGGGAGAGAGGCCGGGAGTGGTCTTCTAGCAGACTTTCTCCACAGGCAAATGAGAGACCAGGGAAGTAGAGGCTTACATTAACATGCTCCAACAAAAGTCCCATTAAAAAATGTCTCTACTTCTTTGTGATAAGTTCTTTCTTTATAGGCCCTTGCATATGTGTTGCTTATTCCCACCTTTGTGTGATTACTCACATCATTACTCTGCCTTCTCCATTTATGCAAATCCCACATGTCCTTCAGGGTCCAGTTTGCATCCCGCTTCTGCCAAGAAACATTCACTAACCAAGCCACCAGAGTGAAGCTCCTTTGACCTGTTGTGTCATTTTTTTTAATTCCTTCATTTGATTTTTAATCATTTACTGTCATCTTTTATTATTTACTTAACGATTGCAAGTGTGCGGTGTTTGCTCTGATAATCAAAAGTTTTTTTAGAGCCAGGGAGCAGGGCTTAATTGCCTTGTAACTCCCACTATACCTGTAAGAGAGTCTTATATATTATATATTTGATGAGTAGTTATTGATTGAAAGAAAATATTAAGAGATTCTTCTCTGTTTGACAATTACATTTTGATTTTCAGTATTTAGAAATGATGGAGTTAGATATAGGAGATGCCACCCAAGTTTATATAGCATTCTTGGTTTACCTGGACCTCATGGAGAGTAAGTCATTTGTTTTATTGTTTTGTTATTGGGGTTGGGGGGGAGGGGATGGCGAGTTGGGTTGGGATATAGCATTTATGTATTTGCTGTTAATTTTGTCAATTTTATGATTTCTTTATTCATTTACATTGAGAATTACTAGGTAACAGAAAATACTAGAAGATAAGAGAAGACAGCTTTATAAGCAGTGTTTGCTCAGCTGAGTATTAGGTAGATGTTTGGAATTTTTATCTTTTATTTTTAATAAATGTTATTGTCCATTCAATGATGCACTTTCAGGTAAAAGTTGGCATGAAGTGAACTGTGTGGGATTACCAGATCTCCAGCTCATCTGCCTTCTTGGTACTGAGATCGAAGGAGAAGGGTTACAAACAGTGGTGCCTACACCCATCAATGCGTCCCTCAGCCATAACAGGTGAGCGGGTGATTTTGATCTTTGTTTAACAGGTTAGTCCCTTTCCTGAAAAAAGCACTAGGAATCATTCAATTAAAGGCAGGAATATATTTTAAAAGGAATTTGGGGTGCAGGGATCATTGCTTTTCTCTTGGTTATTTGAGGAATATGTTAAATATGAGTGTTTAAGAAGTATTTATTAAGTTAACACTTACTGTATTTTTCATGTTTGTTATGAATTGTTTATTTTGTTATC